AAATTGAAATGTGAAATCTGTTCATTTCATATAATTGACACTGATTTATACACAAAAAATAGCATTCCACAGTATGCTCTTAACGATTCAACAAAAAAAAAAAAAAAAAAGACACACATAGTATCAACATCATTAACAATCTTACTAAACACTGAATGTAGTCCTATGATATTTAACTATTCCCACAAGCAGAACAGATCATATTAACCTAATTGTATTCTTTTTCCTGCTTTGCGTTTATTTTCTCCCCTCTAATAACCTATACAATCCTTCCTTCAGACCTTACAATCCAAACTTCAGAACTATATAGATGTTTAATACATTATTACTGTTCTCCTGTCTCTGGTGAAGATTAGGACAAATTAGTTTGTGATCTTAGCAGCAGTTTCTTTTTATTAGGCATTATGGTTTAAGCATATGATCGAATAGTTCAACTGAAATTTTGAAACTGTTCAAAATAGAGTCTTATGTTCAGGAAAGCATGGCATGCCCAGAATCAGATACTAATTTTGTAGACCTATTAATTCTACTGTTTTTGTGTTATCACCATATTTCAATCTGTAGCACATGTGTGCCTTATTAATTTCACAGACACATGGTATTTTGCAAGATTTACACAGAAAGTGATGGAATGTTGTCAAGTTATCGGGTAATAATTCTTGCAAGATCTTCTGGGCATTCCCAAGATAAATTTAAAACTCTTTTTTTTTTCACTTACTACTTGGCAACCTTTACTCAGCTACCTGTCATTTCTGTCTGCTGAAGTTCTTGTTGCTACTTCTCTGTCAAGTGTAAAAGTCAAGGTAAGAAATATAAATCTGCAATCAGAGCAGTGTCTTCCAAGGAAATGATGGCAAAAGAAAGCGGTAAAGAAATACCATAGCACTCACTATATAAAAATTTGAAAGCAATAGACAAGAGTGACATATATCGAGTTGGGAGGATGAATTCCCAAAGAATTAGCTAAGCTGTATCCTACAAGATGATAACTGAAAAATAAGTATATAATATTCTTTTGTTATCAAAACCCAAAACTTCTATTCATGTTTCCTTTGCATTTATTTATTTATTTATTTATTTATCTATTTATTTATTTATTTTTGGTTGCACTTGGAAAATACATTGGGGTACCCAGTGATTTTGAATTGAATTAGGCTTGAAAAATAACTTAGTTAAAACCTCATCCCTGCTAAAGTCATTACAAATACTGTCCCTGAGACCCCTGAAAACTGTATCACATAAACTAGGGATGCATTGGCATCAAGTGGATCTTTATATAGCATGTGATTTTAGAGTCTTTTCTTAGACTGTTCCAAGAGCAGAGTTCTTTAAAAGTTGTATGATCCATTGGATACTGTGTGAAACATGAGAAATCAGTATTAGTTATCAAAGAAATTAATACAGACTAAAAGTAGCTTATTGAAGGGCTAATAGTTCACAGCTGAATTGGCACAGCAGAACAGAAAAGCACAGATATAAAAGGTAGAAGTGGCAGTTTTTTTCCTTTCAAATCTTCTTTGGTCTGTCATCCATACTAGCAGCAAGTATGTCATGAATTCACAAGGGAAATAGAATCCCAAGTGTGTGTTCAATTTAACCTATTCAGGTTTCAGCACACAAACTTTAGTTTGACGATTGCTTCAACAAAACTCTGAGCTTAATATAACCCCTGAGTAGTTCTAAACTGATAAATTTTTCACAGAAAAGCAGCTTAAATGGCTCACACTGGAGAAGAATTCTACTTCCAAAATGAATAACCTTTATGGATTCATCACATCATCAATTATACTATGACAGTATGTCACTTTAAGCAGTGCATTTCTATAATATCCTGTGAAATGCATACCCATATACAAGTCAATTTGTGTTTTTTAATCTTAACGGGATGCATTCCATTTGTAATTGTTTTATTGTTCCTGGGGAACTAAAGAAATGCAAGTTGTCAGTATCATGTGATTCTGTGATTTCAGAAACACTGGAGGACAATGCTCCTAACCTACAAATAGAAGGAAAAATACTGCATGCTTGAAGTCTGTCTTTTGACAAAAAATGGAGAACTAATCAGGTCAACTACATCAGTCAGCATACCGATATTTTTATGAATAGTCATAATATAAATTTCTAAATCTTTGCATTAAAACTGCAAGTATCTTGCTGCATAGTAATACAAGTTTTATCTCGCACTGTACAAGGATGGACAGTCTTCAAATTACTGCAGGTAATATGTGTTGGCCCATAGACAAAATGTTCGACTCCATTACTTAGATTCAATTAGCAAAACTGTCTTTCAGAGGTGATGATCATCAAGACATTTTGGTTTTGCTTCCACACATGCCTTTTTGTTATCCTGTTGCTCTCTGGCTACACTGCTGATTCTTCAACTGAACTACACCACTGTTGTGTCAGATACGAACATTTTACATTGCAGTAGAAGAAATTCTGACTTTATCCGTACAAAAATGTAACTTAACCATAGACTCAAACAGAAGATTTTGGAGCCTGGGATTTACATTTCACAACTGCAAAGAAATACAGGGAAAGAAAGCTGGCTTTTTACCACACACATCTGTGGGGTTTGAACCATCAGACGGTTTTCAGACAGTTTGTGCGTAAAAAAGTAAAATAGTTCAGAATGCTAGTTGAAACTAGAATGTTTTCTGTCAAAATACCCAGACATTTCTTCACTAGATTTCTTCAGAGAAGCTCTCTTTTGCCCCATAAGGAGACCTGTGACAGAATTTACACATATCCTTAGATATCTGAGTTTGAACTCACCACCTCAGGGTCCATAACCAGTCAAAGGAAACAAAGACATGTCCTGAGGGGATTCATCTAATCAGAAAACAGATGTCAGAAGTAAAGCCGAGGGATAACTATTCAGATGTTCTGCTTTAAGACGTTTAGCACTGGGCAAGATAAATCCCACCCAAACCTACTGAGTCCAAACTTGACACAGTAGTAAAGGACATGCTTTCAGAAACAACATAGTTTTTATAATCTTACTAGTTTTTATCTTCTTTCTGTTTCATAAGTTAGAAAAAGCATGTATGGTTACATTTCAACAAACTATTATACAGTATTTAAGTGAAAAATTACTTTACATAACTCTTAGATAAAAATAAAACATTAACTGAAACTAAAAAGAAAAATAGTCGATATATTTTGTCTGAAAATTAAATAAAGTCCTGTACTCACATTGTTTTTTTGGTACAGCACACCAACGGGAAGGGAGAATGACTGTGAGTAAATGATTCCCACAGAGGAAGAATGCTAGCATCAGCAGTATGTGTAGGTCAATAATCTTTTTTTAAAAAAAAGACCTCTACTCATATTTAATCATTGTTCTGAATAACAGTTTGCTTTTTTTCTTTTTTCCTCTGACTGTCTAATATTGCTTATATTCACTTATCATACATGCTGTCATTTTTAAGAAATTTGACATTTTTAAGAAAAGTATATCGTGAAAAAGAGAGTCTCATTGGTTTTCATGAACTCACATGAGCAATAAACAATTGGGACAGTTGTAAAACACATCATTTACTATAGTCGTAAGCCCAAACTAAATCACAATTTCTCTACAGGATGTCTGTGGGATAAGGTAAATATAGATGTTTGCATAATAGTTATATAATCAGCTATTATATATATGTATCACTGTAACATCAGTTACAGTGTTTGTGTTTCTTTATGGAAACTAGTCTAGAACACACTGTACTCCTTTTTAAAACACTGAAAGTATTTTATGTAACAATAGTAACTAAGTAACCACGGGTACAGTCTCATAAGAGATACATAATGTGTTATCAGATAAATTTTAAAGTCTTCTATCTACTGTTGTAAGTAAACAAACATACTGCTTTAGATTGCAAGAATAATCAATAGTCTAACGATGGTGAGAAAAAAATTAACCAGCACACTCATTTGTCAGGATGCCTCATAGACAAGAAGTTCTATGCAGCAATAGCAATGTAAGGAGGAATAAATAGCCATAAAGTTGGCTTGCATTGCATGGAAGCTTGCAGATGGTGGATGAATTCATGTCTGTCACATTTTTATAATACAATGACTTTTACATATTGCTGCCAGATGGAGCATAGTTTTGCATCTTAAATATAAATCTGCAAGAAATACAACTTCCTTCAATATGTTCCCTGTATTTGAAAGAAAAGCAAATTTAGTTAGATTTGGGAGGCTGAAACAGATTTAAGGAAATCTGAAAGAATATAAGTTAAATTCTCAAGAGCTTCCTTGTTCTAAATTATTTCAAAATAATGGAGTTACCCATGTGTTCTGTATTTTTGTAGACAGAACAGAAAAGGAATCATATAGAATTCTAAGCTGTAAACTACATTATATTTATCAAATGCAAGTTATATTCTACGTAGATCAAAAAGCCCCCAACAAACTTAAGAGCTTTCAACTGAACTTAGGAGTAGTTTAGCAAAACCTACGCATAACAGTTATCCTTGTTGCAATAAAAAGTTACCTATCCCACAAGATCAGACCATAAAAGTACAGTGCATGAAGCATAAACACATTTAATCTTTCTCGATAGTGAGGACTTGTATTGCCCTTGCCTTAAAATGACACCTAAACAGACCTAATATCTAATTCAGATCCAATTACAAAAATTTCAATATAGATATACCTTTTCAATCCATCAGGAAAATGCAGAATTTCCTTTTGCTTTTATATGTTCTTATCCATCACACCTGGCTTTCTCTTGTGTCTAGTCTTTGTTTCTCATGGTAGCTGGTATTGCTAAATATGCAATGCTGATAGCGATGAAGTGAACTAGATGACTGTAGGGGGGAATATTTTCCCATTCAGTGATTTCTCACAAAGTCTGATTTGATGATAAACTTGAGCTGACTTCTCTCAGACAGCCTCGAGCATTGTTTATATGCAGATAATTCTGTGCTTGAACCCATTAGGCTTTTATGACAGTTATAATCAAACATGATTGGGAAACCTTCTGGCTTGCTTGGATCCATACTTACATTGTGCTTTGTGAGGTTGGAAATGTTACTTGCTATTGCTTGTAGCCAGTCAATACAGTCTTCAGCAGAGAGACATTGAATTATTCCACTGCAAACCCCATCCACAGCAATTACTTGGAACGCATTTTGCCTATAGACATGTCATAACAGATCAGGTCAGAAGAAAATTTCATCTGTTTTAGCATACCATCTTAACAATACTTGTAGAAATGCTTTTCTTTCAACTGCAATGAAGGTCAACCAGTGAACACTGATAAATTGCTGGTTTTCCTGTTTATAAATACCTGACATATTAAAACAATCAGCTACATGTTAAATGTCATATAAAAAGGTCAACTATTCCTATATTAAGTTTCCAAGAAGCTATAAGAAAATCCTATTGACTAGCTCTATGGAATCTTGTCCAATCCTGTGTGATTTCAGAAGCTAAACAAGTGGAATAGTTGATGCATATCAAAACATTAATAATTGAATATGAAGATCACAGAGAAGGAAAGTGTAGCAGACTGTAGGTAGCCTTTCATGAAATTCAGTGGAATATCGTACCTTTTTCTCAAAAAATTTTGTTTCATTCTCCAAATTCATTTTCAAAACACATTAAGGTTACTGCTAGCTAGTTAGCTGCTTTTGGTGATAGAATTTTCATTGTAAATGATCCTCTTCTTACCTGCCGATGGAATAGCTGGTGAATTCAAATTTATGAGGTAGCATTAATGATTTTTTCAGTTGCATTTCTGAATGCAGAATCATTAGGAAATCACACAGGAATGCCAAGAGACATCCACTGACAAAGGCAGTAGCCACTGGGGTGTCTTTACCTCAGCAACATTCTTGGAACTTACACAATGATTTACGATGCGTTATAGTTTGACTTTCCACAACTGAGTGCTAAACAACTACAGAACAAGAGGAAACTTTCAAATTATAAAGCTATAGGAGATCCAACTTCTGTAAAAGGCCTTTTTGGCCTTTAGGAAGGTTGACAAGTCTCTAGCTTCAGAACCTCAAAAGCTCATTACGAATCAGTTTCACAGAATAGGATATTATTAAGCATAAAGAGAACATAAAGTTCCACTGCTAGCATTCCCCTACAAATTCATACATTCATGGTTTAAAATTGTTTAGATTTTTTAGAAGGCTGAGGCAAAATGAGTGTTATCTTCAACATAAAACTGAGTGTCACTAATGACAGTTTCTGACATCTTAAGACTGATATTGATTCTGCAAAATTATATATAAGTTTTTTACTTCACAAAACTATCAACTAATTTTATAGAATGCAGAGCTAGCATCTACCTCAACCATAAATGTTCTTCTGTGTCTGTGTCAAGTACACGATTTTCTTTCACTTAGGACTAGTATAAAAATGAATTAGAGTCATGCCTTTTCCTTGAGCAATTCCATCATGAAGAATAAGTTCTGACTGGAAGATAAAGCTTATGTATCCTAACATGATCATGAAGACACCAATGGTTTATCTATATCTATCAGCTAACACATCAGCTCAGTTGTCATTTCACAGAGGTGGTCATCTGTCTATAAACTCCTACAGGCACAATCTAGAAGATATGTTATTAAAAACTAACTTCTTATTGATCATTTTTTAATACAACAAGAAGAAAAAATTAAGATCATATTCTTATTCAATTACACATCGCAGGTTCTAAAAATGATATAAGACAACTTTATATAGCATGTAACATTTTATGTTGTTTTCTTTATTATTATTAGCAATATTCTTTTCTTAACATTGTTATTTATATTCTTTTCATTTTCAGTCCCTTTAAAAATTTTTCTATCTTTCTTTGAAAACAAATTTTTGGAGGGAGTCATATTTTAAAATACAGAGATTTACAAACTATTTTAAAACATTCATAGACTAGCTTGTTACCAACAAAATATTGGCTCTGTGCTTTTTGAGGAAAAAACCCAACAACTGTTTCTCTCTATCAAACTTGATTTTTTTTTTTTTTTATAATTTTTAAGTAATGTTCCTCATGATATATAGCACAGGAAAATACAGGGAGATAATTAGTAATCACTCAAGGTGTGAGCATGACTTCAGGTATACATCTGTAAATTTATTTTGCAATTGAAATCTTAGGAATATTGCTGCCTACACATAATCTTTCTCTGTAATGTACAACTTCTATAATGAGCATATTAAGCTTGTGTTTTATTGCTACAGAAGACTGAATGTGAAAGTCTTAAATCTATGAATAGTCGAATATATCCTAATTTTCCCCATGAGTAGTTCTAGTATCTTATCTGGAGTGTACAGCAGAACAGATCTCAGATTTGACTTTTATAATTCTGGGTCCTTTACAACAGGTGTTGTTAATTATATATATTTCAACCACTGTAAAACATTGAGCTGAAGGTTTTCAGAGAATCATGTACAAGAAATCTTACATCTCTGGTATCCATATCCTGCTCATTTCATGAACCAATGTAGCTTTTGCATCACAAGTTAGCTCTCTGGGCCAGTAATTGTCAAGAGATCAAGAATCATGTAGACAAGTAAGCATGATTTTGCTGTCACTATTCAGAGACCATAAACTGTTTTTAGTTTAACAGTCATCTAGTGACTACTAAGCTGCTTTAATATCAGCTCTGTTGAATAGGAAACAAGACTGCAAACCTACACGGTAAACTTTAAAGAAACAACAGCCCTTTGAAATAATTGAGGCTGTGGGAGGCTTTTACATAACTGTCAAACATTTGGTAAGAACCAAAGAGAAGAAGGTTGTGATGAGAAACAACAAAATTGACCCCAAAGAAACTCAAAATTGATTTATGATCTTTCAGTTTTCATTGGGATCATAAACTCACACCTGGAGGGAAGTGGTAACTTCTTTCTTTACAAGGAGAGTGGTTAGGCCCTGGAACGGGCTGCCCAGGGAGGTTGTGGATGCCCCGTCCTTGGACGTGTTCAAGGCCAGGTTGGACGGGGTCCTGGGCAACCTGATCTGAATGTGTACGTTTGGTGGCCCTGATAGGCAGGGGGGTTGGAACTACATGATCCTTGAGGTCCCTTCCAACCCGGGTGATTCTCTGATTCTGTGATTCTGTGATTCTGTGTGTGGTAACACTAGACTGCAAGACCCCTTTCCAGGCAAAAGTGTGAGTATAACAACAAAGAATAGATAATTGAAACCTTCTGCAAAACACTTATAACAGAAATATTAATGAAGATCTTACATATTAATTAAGTAACTTTATGTGTTTTTGAATGTAGGAACAGAAAAAGTTCAAGATATTAATGCTTGATCACTAGTCGGGTCATCAGATGATGCAATAAATTTAAGCCTGATTGTGAGCGCCCCAGGTCTTCTGTCCCCTATCTCTCAGAGCTGCATTGGAATTAATAATGCCACTTCTCTTAATATTGCAAATCCCTGGGGATTGCATCTTTAAATCGAGAAGTCAATAGTTTCAGCTTTCTGAACTTATTTACCTGCACAAATCTGATCCTGGAAGGTACTGGGAAAATCGTGAATGAAGAAGTGGAATTAATCGGAGATCACACCACCTTTTTTCCCATCTAAGTCCTGGGGATGTTGGCCATGAGGAACATGATAATGTATCCTGAAAAACATTAGAAGGCCCTTCTCAGTTTTGGGCTTCATTATAAATAGTCAGCAAATTTGGAAAGAAAGATAGCTACTTCAAAGACCTTATGTTTAGCATAATCATCCACTTTTCTCAGATCATCGGCACAAATTCTAGCTAGCACTCCACAGATTCTCAACTTTTTGTCAGAAATAAAACTAACCTATATAAAGCTCAACATCAACATGTTTAGAGCAACTATGAGTAACATTATTTTAGAAACCTAGCAAAAAAAGACTGCATCATTCTTGGGGGTGATTAGTCATAAATAAAAGTATTTCCTGTATATTATGTTATTGGTTACAGGCTTCATATCTGTACCCTGAGTAAGGGAGATTTCTATGTCACTCAATCACAATTCAGGTGTTTTCTATGGTTCCACACTCGATTACATATACATCTATTCTAATTTCACTTCACTGGTATATAACATTATATTATACATAATTATATTATATATTATAATACTATATAATATTTTATATTAATTCACATTAATAAATTATGAAAATTGTTCACTCAATATATTAATTTTACCTATTTACACAAGATATTATTTATATGAAAATTCAACTAGATCATGTCTATGATTATATCTACAAAGAAGGGGTATTTATACATATACATCTTAATTTTAGTATATTTTAAGACAATATAGATTAGAATGAGATATAGTTTTTGAGTAAAAAAATCAAAATTATTTTTAAAAAATCCAGCACCTCTTTCTTTCTTTACAAAACACTTGCTTTTCAAAATAGGGTAGTCATCATGCCATGTTTTAAAGAACATTTGCACTGAAATACGTGCCTTCTATATATCAGTAAAATTGAACCTATTGATCCTGAATCATAATCTTTTTTTAATTTTTTTCTTCATACTTTTTCTTACTCATATCTTCTGAAAATAAATGTAAAAAAAACCCCATACCCTGATTTTTCAAGTTTTAACGCTTTAGCAAGTTTTTAAATGAATGTTCATATATCTGTAACGCGTGTAACATGAAAGATCACAATGAACATCAATTTATCTGAATAGCAGGATTTTCAAAAGTACGTTCATGAACGTAAAACACTGATGCTCTGGTGAAACATTCCATAGATTCAGAGAAAATAAATCCACATAAATAAATGACTGAGTAGAAATACTAAGCTAGCATACTGTTTTGAACAATGTCTTGATGTTTTCAAGTTCTGTCTATATTCAGGAACTTTTTCCAGCTGTGACAAAACTTTAGGAAAAAGTTGAAATGTGGCAAGAAGTTTAGATGGAGACAGAAGATCTATGTTCAAGAGCAACAGAAGTGGTAACCTCACTTTGCATAGCACTTTCTATTGTTAAATTAGGTCCAAACCGGACCTGTCTACTCCAAATCCTTTTGAGCAAGAAATCTTTGTCATGTGGATCACCAAGGCTGTATCTACGAAATACCCTAAGGCCATAAGACACAATACATTCTAGAAAATAATTTGACAATATGGAATGAAAACGAAAGTTTTGTGCATATGTTAAGAATTCATATAGAGTTCTCATCTGACTTTATGAAGCATTCCATTCCATTACAAGGAGATATCCCAGGCAAGAAGACTGAGTGAAAAAAAACCAGAAAACTAAAAAAAAAACCAAACTTGTTTTCATTAAATTATTATCAGTTCAAAAAGAAACTGTAGGTAACTTACATAATTTTGACACCTTCAGCAGCAATAGGATTCCTGAATGGAAGCAAGGCTTTAACCCTCAAAGCAAAGATAGACTTGAAGTGGCTAACAAAATAACTTTAAGATCTCCTCCAATTACCTTTTTACATACGTATACAAATAGCTCAGGTGTTTGTTTCTGATGTTGTTCCACTATTAGAAGATATATATTTATTGTTTATTTTTGGCCTACAGCAAGACTCAATATTATTACTTTTAACTCTTTTTGATGAATTCCTTCTCCTATGCACATGTATAACCTAATTAGTTTAATCTTTTGGATTCGTAGACCCTAATCAGGCTTAAATCTGTGCTACTGACTTGTAAATTTCTGGCTCCCATTTTAAACTTTTTATTATTGAAATGAGAAAGAACAATAAAGGAAGACAGAAATTAGAGACAGGAAGTCTACTGAAGAGTGCTTAAACTTCTGTTCATTATCATATAGTATAATAGTTATGTCATATACAGATTTATTTAGTCTGTGATTTCTATTCTAGTATATCTATCACAAAGCCAAATACATACAAAAAAATCTTTAGAACTATACAAGATATCACAAATGCTGCATTTAATGACTAAGAAATACAATAAAAGCACCGTGTTGCATTTCAAAGGAATCTTTTATGACAAATCTGAACAAAGATCTGTAACACTTCAAGTTAAAGGCACTTTGCTGTGTAATGCTATTGTTCTTCAATACAATTGTTAGAGCTAGTTAATAAGAGAAAAACGTTAGCATCTTAAAAATAGGCAAAAACATGCACCTACGTAAGCCTTGGTCAGAAGTTATAAATAATAAATAAAATATATGTAATAATATTCTGAAAAGGTTTTCTAACTCCTGTTTAAATAGCTATATTGTCACTTTAATAATTTTATTCCCCCTGCTCTGCAAATAAATGTAGAAGACAAAACTTTCCCAAAATTTCCATTGTCCAGATAAAAATAGTAATCACATTTATCAGAGCATAATCTCAGCTGCTACAATTTCTCAGTGTTACTCTTAGCTACAATATCTGGCTGACAAATTTTAGCCCCCTATGGAACTGTCTCCAATGCTAATTTGAGCTCCTCCCACAATGCTGGTTTTTTATTACTTTCACTTAGCAATTTTTTTTCTGATGTAATTTCATGAAAGAAATATGAGCTCTTACCGTGTTGTTGGGATGGTAGTTGAGATGCAAACCACTGTCACACAGGGGAGAGGAAGTACCACTGCTCTGGTCACTGGGGGCACCTAACACCAACACGGATATACGGATATACAAAAACGTATCATTATCTATAATGCTATAATAAAACTTTATGTGTTTGTGTGCTTGCATGTTTCCCTCTCCAATTGATTTTGTCATCCAAAAGTCAAGGCTCAACTCCTTAGTGATTTGTAAAAAAGTTAATAATCTACTCAGTAAGAAAAAATCACAAATGTATTTGCTAATCTGATAATAAATGGAAAGTGCACTTACTTGCTTGGTTCTCACTTAAAGGAAACAGTCAGACAATGCTTTTGTCATTCTCTATGAAGTTCACAGGTTTAACAGTTCTTGTAGCAACTTACAAGGATACAGAGCTACATCTCATAAATCATATATGATAGGATCTATTCAAGTGCATGCTACTGTACTTTACTCAGCATTCTCTATGCTCCACATCCTTTCATAAAAGCAGCAATGAGTTACTGGGATTCTTTTTATTTAAGATTTCTGGTGTTGTATTTTTTTTTTCTTGCCTGATTAAAGTTCAATACCTGGATACAAGATAAAGATGGTACTTCTACAACTGATTTTATATAAGATATATCAAAACTTAGTTTATTTAATTGCTACTGATGTAACATCAGGGCCTAGAAGTATTGAAATCAAACACTTTTTTGTTTTGTTGCTCCCTTTAGGAGAAAAAAGCAGAAAGTAGTGGTGCCAAAAGGCACAGGATGATTATGCATATGCTTGGGTATGCTGCAACTGTATAATTAAGTGCCCACACTCACGATTTCAGGCAATTAAAGGAAGCCAGCTGTTTCCTTAGTTTCTGATGGGGCTAGTTCACTAAAACTAAGTTGGACTTAAAATATTAAACATTTTTGACAAATTTATTTTTAGGTGCACAGACACCTACATGAAAACTCCTGATTTTTAAATGAGAAAGTTAAGCTCTCATAATAAATACACATGATCTCATTTTCACATCTAGAACACAAAATTCCTGGAGTAAACTCTTATCTGGTGCTCTACGGAAAAATGCTTTTAAATACTCTACACCAAAATGTGAGCTACTGTAACCTAATGTAATTCCCCTGACTCAACTTTGCTGATTCACACCAGCCAAACACAAGGCAATCTTGTTTTTCAAAAGTTGTTGTTTTTCAAGCAACAACTGCACACTTTTATTTAAGGTGACTGCTAATATAAGATCTGGCAATACGAGAAGCTCATATTTGGGCAACAATGCTGACTGAGAAAGCTGTTGTTAACCCCCCCAATGCACACTAGATTCAGAAGCTGCAAGTATTCACAAGCATTGAATTAAGGTTTATTTTGGTCAAGTAATAAAGGCTTACATGCACAATCTTCATTCAATGGCAGTTTGAGAAAAGCAGGTGCTCTTTTCAAAAAGGACACAGTTAGGGTCACTTCTTCCCCCGCATTGCGAAGGACCTGAACCTGGAAGAGAAGCACAAACAGGACAATATATGTATGACCAAAACACAGCAGAAGTATAAGCAATGCCATGCAGCTCCTTATATCTGCAATGTATTGCAATGACATCTTTCAAAAAAGAAAGCAAGATGTAAAGCTTTCTATGTGCTCTGCTCCTAGTCATACTAACAGGTAATACCGGTTTGGAAACAGCACTGGCTGTTCTCTGACGTTTTTCAGCTGCGGACTTCTCCCTTCCAGACCTGGCATGAACAGTAACCCACATGTATAAATTCTTCTTGGTTCAGTTTAGTTTTGCTGAGGTTGTCTAATAAATCTCCAACAAAACAAAAGCTGTAGTTTCCACAGCTATGCCAGAGTCCTGGCATGGTAGGACTATGAAGGAATAGGAATACAAGTGAATGCCCTATCCATTTGTGAATGCTCTAAGCCATATTTTCTCTCTCCCATAACTGCTTCTGTAGCTCCTTTTCATGTTTTTAGCTTTTCTGTGATGTGGCTGATGACACCCCAAGCTACACAGCAGAGAAAGAGAAGTCCAGGCAGTCCCTTTACCAGTCCCAGACTGGTAAAGAGGAGACACACAAGCATCTAATCAAAATGCTATACTTAACAGGTGATAATTTATATTAGAATCATTTTATTTCATGAGAGCCATTCGGTGATATAACTCTGGGTATCAGAATGAACACTACCAGTTGTTCTGCTTCTATAGCTTGTTAATTTTATAAGAGTTAATTTAAGTTGCCTTTTTAATCTGGCATATATTTGTTCTCTTCTGCTGTGATCTCACTGTGTCCAGGTAACTTACAAGTAACCCTTCTGCAATGCTGCTGTGTCAAAACACCATGTAAATTAATTGATACAATTATTTAATCCATGCCAATGAAAAACCTATCCTACACATTTAACTGTGTAGCATACATATATATTGCTATTTTCAGGGATACTTCCATGTGAAAATCACTGCACTACATCAGGCTAATTTAAAGCAATCCGTCAAGAAAAATTGTCAACTTCTCACTTAGACACAATATTTCCAATTCTATAGTGGCTGCTATGGAGGAGTAACAATGTGATGGCACATTATTTGTACCAATATCTGAAATCCACTCTGAAATTTTAGTCTATTATATAAAGTAGCACACTGGTTGTCAAGGCATACTTTGCAATGTAGTATGTATGTGTGCCAAAAACCAAACATGTATCACAACAAATTTCACCATCTTAAATCACATCCAAAACTTCTGCTGTAGCACAGAGATCTTCAGTGAGTACTTCACATTTCTGATGTTTTAGACCTCAGAATTCAGAAATAACACTTATTTCATGGGATAACAATGACACTGTCAGTGGAATAGTTAGTCAGATCAAGACTCTGAAGTCCTGAATTCCATCAGAGATATCTTGTAAACTCAGCCTTCAAAGAAAACACATCTTCTCTCTTCTGTACCAGTCACATGATTCAGAACAGTCACAGCCAAAGCAAACAGGAGCATGTTTTCTAAACTGCAATCACAGATGTGGATAGACGAAGTGCAGGAAAAATAAAGTTATCCTTTACCTTTTTTAAAAAATGCTTTTACTCAATAACAGGAAAGAAAGGGAGAAGTTACAGAATTAGCAACTCTAACTTACAGTCACCTTTTGAAGATATCTAAGTGGATACCATCTGTGAAAAAAACTGAGAAGTAAACTCTGTCCCTGAACACTTTTTCTTCTAAAATTTAAACAAGCCACAAGTCCACATGATTATGTGTTTGATAACATTGCTGTAGAAATGCTAGAAGTTGTCCTAAGTAGTCTGGTATTACCTTTTTACTCCAAGCTTTCTCTCTTTATCTCTCAAACTTATAGAACGAAAAATTGTGATGAAGAAGTGGTACAAAATCTAGATGAAATCAGCAATACCTATTCAAGTAAAGCATATACTGGAGTACATAAAACACGTAAGCCAGAAAGTGCTTGGTCTTGACATGTACAACAAAGAGATATAAAATATTGAAAAAGAAAACTACTAGTTAATGATTACTACAAAGAGAATAAATAAGCTACCAATCCCATGCCACTTACTTTTCAGTGATTATCAAATCCATTCTTGAAAATAAAGTTAATTGAAGAAACTTCGATTCTTAATTGAATTAACATTCTTTTTTGAAGCTTTCATTTGAAATCTTTACTGCAACTTTAGATTTTTGCCTTTCTTTTATATAAACAATGAACAATTTATATTAATATTAAATCAAGTGTGCTTTACAGGACTGGTTTACTTGATGTCCTCATTCAACAGGCACTTTCCCTTAGCATCTTTCCTTCATGCAGAAAGAGAATGAGATATGAGAGGAAATCTATTCTTACTGAGAATTGCTGAGGAATGTTTTTAGGAATATACTGGAACAGCTAATGTGAAATGGAAAAATGGGTAACTTTTATAAAAGGGTAACAGCCAAAATAAATGTGGCTAGTTGTTATGGAGAGTTTTGTCTCTGGAAAAAAAAAAAAAAAAGATGTTGAAAACAGAGAGTCAAACAGTTTGACTAGAAGATACAATACAGAATGGGCTTCTAGATTTTACAAACGTGTGTGGAATCCCAACAATGAGAAATACTGGCATATTCTTTCTTTCTTCTCTCTCCATCATTGCCTGTCAGCACTGTAGCTAAAAATTTTACAGAGCAATTTCATTAAAATGAGTCCTGCATGAATGCAAAAGTAGTGCTTATTCAGGCTTGGAAAATCTATGTTAATGAAAATATATCTATCCATACAAGTATATCTATGCAGATCTGAAAATGCATATTCCACTGACAAAGTGATAGTTTTAAAGAGTTAGATTTTATGGTGGTGTGTGATACTTCTCAATAAAGTCTCTACATAACAATAACAGTAGTCCAAGCATTCAGTAATGCTTATAGTAATGTTGCCCTTTAATTTTATAAAACCTTTTAAAGTGCCAGTTAAAGACAACATTAGAGCATATGCTGATGTCTGTCTCAATATATTCACAAAAGCACTGATGTATGAAGTCCCTCTGACTTCAGCTTTTCTTGACTTTTCTGACTTTTCTTGAATGAGACATTAAATTCACTCTTAAATTACAAATGAAATTTATACATAAATGAATTGGCACAGACTTAAGCAGAAGACAACAAAAAGCATACATTCCTTAAGATTTATGATTTTCTGAACCACAGCAAACACCATTCTTCACTGTAATTGAAAGCAAAAATTAGCTCATTAATGAATATCTTAAATTATTATTATTTGAAAAAACGAAAGAAGGATACTGTGCACTGTTATTCAATGTACTGGTTCATCTGCAGATCCCACAATACGTATTCTGGTACAATGACCTAAGGGCCCAAGGCTAGAAGGCTTGACACATGCATACAACTGCCTCAAATTATGTTTAATTATGTAAAAAGGCAATTGTTTCTTTCAGTAAAACCCATGTATGTGATATAGAATAGTACAGATATTCACAGTAAAAATATGCCAGTGTGGGGAGATTTAAATTCCCATGCTCTAATATTTATCAAATGTTTGCCCACAACAAATCAATTAGTATAATAGTTAAAATCATCAAAAATTTTCTTCCTTCACAAAATCTTTCTTACTGTTGTCAGCACAAAGTAGAACATCATTTTGTGACAGCAGTTCCAACTCACGCTGCTCAACTGAAAGCATACGTCAGATCATAGCTTGACATTACCAGAGAAGCTGATTGCTTTCTGGTCAGAAAACTTGATTTAGATATTTAGATACAAAATCAAAGGAGTTGCACACTGGAATGGAAAACTTCCTCAAGCAAAGGAAAAAGAAATGCATGTGCCGAGGGTGTATGAAGACATTAACTTCTATTCGGACACAACTTTTGCACCTAACTTGCTACCAGTACTGTTTTATAAAAGGGAAGGTGGATGCAGTAGTACTCGTAGTTACAGCAGAAAGATCATATTCAGTTTATCACTAAGCAATTATTCTGAAAAGTGGCACAAAAAGGTTTAGTGTTTCTCAAGATGGCATGGGAATTGAACCAAGGTAGCACTAACACAGAGAATGATCCAGCTACAAAGACGCTATATAAAAAATCATTTCAAAGCAATATACACAGTCTCTTGGGATTTGATGCTTTTTGACAAGTCCCATCAGACTTAGCACTCAGAAGCAAAATTATTCTCAATTCCAAGCGACAGTGCTCATTTGAGCTAGATCATCAGGTGATTTCTCAGATGGGCAATGTCACACCAGTCTGTTGTAACTATCTTCTGTCTTCACTCATCGATCTTTGTCACACCTGCTCTTATTGGCTTATGAACCAGTGTAGACATAAAAGTTCCAGTAACCTAAAGACTCAAGTACAAAGTAGAGCACTAAGTGATCTGCCTTTAAAAAGAGATAAAGAATATAATCATGTACCGAGGTTCAAATATGAGCCACAGAGTACTCTGACTTCTGTCAGATTTTTCTTCAATGTAGTGCCAAGGTAAAAAGAAAATTCTATCACTTCAGTGATACACTGTCAACCAAGCTGGAAGAAAAGATTAGTTTTTGAACTTGTAAAATGGTATTTTTTAACTCTTATTATTATGCTCCATAATCAGCACTAAAATGCTTAGGAATATTAAAATAGCAACAGACAGCAATTACTGCCGAGTTAGATGTTTTCTTTTCAAAAATAACATAGGAGAGCCTCAGCAAAAGATAATCATGCAAAAAAATGGAGGAGGAGAAATGAAAAACTAACAGAATCACAAAAGTAAAAGACTGCCAGGAAAGATGTTCTGGCAGCATTTTCCTGTTCTTCATTCATTGAATTTAGCATCATTAACAAACATAAACCCAAAAAAATATTGCTAGAAGTGCTTAATTTGCATTCCTTAGGTCATGTACTCTAATTCGGAATTCTGTTTTACTAAAAATAAAAATATTATATTTACTAAAAATAGCCTATTACTGGTCATCACAGTTCATATTCAATCAAATTACCAGCAGGCCAATAC